GCTCCCTTCTAAACATCCGAATCCAGTGCAGGTTTCTCGCCCTCCCACTAGCGGTTTGAATACACACGTAACAATTAAGAATTCACTGCAAACACCTCACAGAGTAGATTTGCTTTCAAAGAAGTCTACTGAAAAACTTAAATAATTCATGTCAAAAAAATCTGTAATATACGATTTGGTGCATCTTCATCTCTTCTTTCAAATGCTGAAAATCGCAGCTCTCTGGCTGCTTCCGCTCTTGAGTTGTTGCAAAAATGCCCACGGCCATTATTTTTTTAAACAGGCTCAAGTTTTATACAAAAACAGTTCTTATCGAAATTTTAATATTAGGATATTAGTTCAAATATGATCAAAAAGCATAGAAAAAAATAGAGCATTGTTTTCTCTATCACTACATAAAAAAAGAAAATTTCTTCAAGCTTTCTATACGAAAATAAGATATTTGGCGTTACTACTTTTGGTATGCCCTTCGTATTTTCTCAAAAGAGAACTAATTATCTTGCTTATGCAAATCCTCACATGAAATCTACACCTTTCTTTAGGTGGAAATAATATTCATAATGACGCAGCATCGATGAATACAGAATTATCTCATCTTCCCTTACTAATGAATAGCACTATCGTAAAAGTAAATGAAACTATTTGTGCAGTGCAAATTTTTCTTCCTCTACTTGTTGCACAATGTAATTAATATAAAATTGAGTCGTTAGTAACATCCTATTACAAAGATAGAAGATAGCGCAAACGTAGAAAAGAACATAATGTCATCGAACGATACTTCTACGTTAGTCATCGTTCAATTTTATCTCATTGCTCGATACATGAATATTGGATTCTGTTTCACTTTACTCATCGGTGGTATTTTCGGAAATTTCCTCAACATCGTCGTATTCATCACATTGGGAAATTACTAGCACAATGCTTATTCACTTTTCATGCTTGCTCAATCCTACTTTAATCTGAATCTTCTTATTGTCGATATCGGCACTCGAGTTCTTAGCTAAGGTTTTCAAATAGACTTCACCTTATCAGATAGAATTTGGTGCAAATTTCGCGCTTCTATCGTTGATATTAATGTTCTTAGTTCACTCAGCTGTCTTTGTCTACAATCTATTGATGCATTTTTCTGCACCTCACGATCTGCTATCAGGCGACAGAGAAGTAACGTTCAAACAGCTCGATTTTTCGTGATCGTGTGTGTACTCTTTTGGGATATCCATCAATTGCCGTATTTCTTTGTACAAGATCTTGTAAATATTTATGGCAAGTCTGCGTGTGTAACAACAAATGCTGTTTATACTCAATATCGCACCTACTTCTTGAACTTTGTACTTTATATAACGTTTCCCGTTTCGATGACTAGTACATTTGCCATTCTTACCTATCGACGTCTTCAATCGTTAAACGTACACAAACGGAGTTCACTCTCTACTCTCACAAAACAGATAGCGTAAATGGCTTTATTTCCAATTGTAATTGTGTTGTTGTTCATGACGCCATATGGTATTGCAACAGCCTACGTCATTAGTTCAGTAGCCATTGTCAAGAACTCTTATCGTACATCTCAAGAACAAGTAGCTCAACTCTTTTTTCTCCTTTATGGTTATGGTACATAGGCGGTAAGTAACATAAGTTCTTTCAATATACAATTTGTTCTTATTCTATTTTCAGAGCTCATTCTACTGTTATTATGCAGCTTCGCAAGCATTTCGTAAGCAAGTGTTTGATACGAGCAAGCAGTTACTACTGAATAATTAGAGAAGAACTCAAATTTTACCAATAATGCAAAGAAATCCTCCACCTACTACTCAACCGCAGATAGTACAGTCGTGAGAAATAAAAATGACATTTGTAAGGAGGGAGGCGGGCCCCATGAAATATTCGCTCTAGTGAATACCCTCATATATCATATAATGGAACTACAATTTCTTTCAATGGTATTCATTTTTGTAAGAAAACAAGTTTTACTTACGTTTTGGTATTCATGTGATATGAAATGCTCATAGATATACTTTAAAGTACATTAACATACTTCAATGTGTTTCTTCGTATTTTTGTGCCTTTATAAGTCAAAGTTTCTACTAATATGGAAATTATACTTACCAAATAGGAATTATGTAATCAGTCGTCGTACCATATAGAGGATGTGGAAATGATAGTGGTCTTGAATTTGGGAATAAAAAATTATTCGTATCAACTTCCTCGCACAATCAACCACATATCATAATACCAACATCCTATTATTCCACTATGCAAAGAATAATTCGCAAAATTTTGAAAATAACTACCGATCATTAGTTTTTTTTCATGCCACATTGACTTTAGTGAAAGCAATCTATATTTCGTCACAATGGTAAAAGCGTCAAAAAAAAATATCATTTTGAATGTTTAAATGAATGATTTGATATGGACTTTCGAATTGAAAAGTGTATTTTGTGTGTTTTTAATAGTTGAACACATCTTGAAAGGATCCTTTTCAGAATGTAAAACCTACATACTGAGAGTTGAAATATTTGTAACGCAGCTAAACTATACACGAATGTAGATGCTTATCATGTGATAACATCAACATAACTTATTTCTGTAGGCAGTAGTTTGTAGATCGAATTAGGATTGATAACATCAAGCTATTTTTTCTCATTGTCTGAAGTAGATAAACGTATGGTTGTTTTGTTAAATATGCCGAAATAGCTGAACTTTCAGCAAGTTTTATAGACATTAGATAAAACGTGTCTTATTGATTGGTTATGCAAATTCTACGTATTAACAAAAAATGGCTTTGAAAGAAGATGAAAACATCAAATTTGCAAATCTTCATAGCTTTTTACTGTTCGATTTCAACATTTCAATAGAATTGCTCTATAATGTTTTGTCATATATGATAAAATTCTGTACAAACTGAATTTGTTCTTGTAATAAGTTGAATAGGAATATGAGATACTATAGTTAACTTATTACATAGCCAGTTGGAACTGAAATCATAGTACGAATCTTATCGATGATATTAAATTGTTCTATAATTGATTATAAATGAAGCTACTTTCATCTATATCTATGTTATGCTTTAATTGCGATACATTCGAGTTGTTGAAGATATTCAATGTTGTTTTTGTTTAATGAAATATCATTTTACTTGTATGTTCCGTTTTGTTGTCAACGATATATTTCTACCTGTCTGAGATTGAAAATCTAGGAATGGAAAATGTTAGCTTGTTCTTATCTAACTTCGAAGAGTTCTAAAGATGAGACTGATAATGAGCAATAATCACTAGGGGGAAAAGCAGACTTGAAGTAGAAAAGTAGAAAAGTAGCCCAAAGTACTTAGAAGTAGTTCAAAGTGTATGGAAGTAGCTTAAAGTATCAAAAAAGTAATTTCAAGTACATCGAAGTAATTTGAATTATTCGAAAAGTTCTGTAAGACAAGAGAAGTTAAAAGTCTTTTTTGGTAAGATTCTATGAGAGAATCGATTCCTTTTTCCGTTAAAACTATAGTTTTTGACTTACGTAGGTTTTTTTAGTAGGTTATGTTCTTTTTTGTGTACTCAAAAAGTGAGTACACTCTAGAATCGGTCAGTATGTCCTGGCCGTTTACACGATAACTTTCGAAAGGAGAGTCCGATCACGATGAAATTTTCTATACAGTTCAGTCTTTACAATATTTCGGTCGAGTTCGAAGATGAGAAGGATCGGCCGAGCCGTTCCTGAGTTATTGCAAAAATACTCATTTTTCCCTATGTCTTCCTAAAGGAAAATTGATCTATTCCCACTTTCGTAAAAAACTTTTACTATCATAATCAAATAAAACTCCAACTATTATATACCATTCGATAGAGAATTCCACGAGCTACAAAATAGTATATGAAACATAAAGAAACACGAAGGCTAACTCACCTGTTACCAAGATAATCAGACGGAAATAGGTTCTGTTTTCGTCCACGCTCTAGTTGATCCGAAAATGGAGCTCTACCTTCCGATCACGGACATGATACTTTGAGGTTTTTTGGGGCGGAGAACTCGAATCTGTCATCCATTTGCCTTGAAATACCATTGGTTGAGCAGGGACCAATAGAAATCAAGTTATAGGAAAAA